GGTGGGTGTGCCCGGGTTTTTGGGGGGGGGGGGGGGGTGAGTGGGCAGTCGGAGATGTGCTCCTTCATCTCCCGCATCTCTCTTTCTCTCCCCCGCCCCTTCTTCTCTCTCCGTAAATTAGATGCAGCCACGATTAGTGACGGTGGCGGCTTCCGACGACTGACGATAGCCACCGAGCGAGGGAATCTCCGGCGACATCTCTCGCAATCTGGAGCCATTGTCGCGATCTCCTGGCGATCCACGTTGGGATCTCCTCGCAATCTTCTCGTTCAGCCATCGTTCAAGATCGCCATTATGACAACTGTTCGCGAGCAAGAAGAACGCCGTCGCTGGAGAAGATGACCGTTCACAAACCAGATCACGATGTCGGAGTGGGGGAGGGGGGTGCAGTCGAGGGTGGTGGGCAGTGGAGAAGAGAGAGAAGAAAATGAAAAAGAAAATATGAAATCCGTTTTCAGAAAACGAAAACGAGAAAATGAAAACAACTTGGGGTGCAGTCGGGGGTGGTGGGCAGTGGAGAAGAGAGAGAAGAAAATGAAAAAGAAAATATGAAATCCGTTTTCAGAAAACGAAAACGAGAAAATAAAAACAGTTTTTTTTCGTTTTCAAAATTTCACAAAACGACAAAAATGATTTTGTTTTTGTTTTTTAAAAAAATTTTCGCCAAACGCGTTTTTCATTTTTTACTTTGAAAAACGTGAAAAATGAGATTAAAAAGAGTAACAAACAGGGTCATTGTTTTATAATTATTTATTGTCCGTTGACTTTTGGAATGTCGTGCCGTTAATTAAAGCTATAACTTTGACTATCCTACAACTTGGTATCACAGTGCATCCATTTTTCTACAATTTTTGGACTTGCGGCAGGAGCTTGACGGCTTAGGCGTCATGATGGGGTTGGGAAAAAAGATTTTTGTTTGCATGTTTTATTAATCTTATTAAATGTAAATTAATAATAGGTGGGTACAACGAAAATTGCATACTTAATACTTCAAAAACAATACATTGATGAAAGACATGTTAGTTTTCGTTAAAAAATGAATGTTAACGGATAAGAAAATATTATACGAGTATTAATTTAAAAGAAATTTTATAATTAATTCTTTAATTTTTTTAGTTATCAAATAAATAAAATACCTAAAAAACATGAGTGCGTCTATTGACACAACTCATTCTACTTTTTTTTAAGAAAATAGGTGTATTTATTTACACTTTTCATTCTACTTTTTATACACTCATTTTTAATAAAATTTCTTATTATTGAATTATCTAACTATAAAATTACTTTTAAAAACAAACTATTTTAAAAATACTTATTACGCACCCTATCAAATAAATATTATTCTCTTCTAAAAATTATTGTGCCCTAATTTTTATCATTTAGTTGTCATAGCTATTTTTTAATATGAATGATTGTTGATGGCCGTTTTTGTATCAGGCCCATACAAGGGTCTAGGCCCAATAGTTTTATCGGGTGACAAAATTAGGCTCAATTCGTGGACCCAAACTACGCTCGGAGAACTCGCATGGGCCATGGTTTGGTGAGCTATGGGTAATCGAACGTGCCTATTTGTTTCTTAGTCCTATCTGATTTTAAGTCCCGCTTGGGGGGTTTTAAAATAATTGGGCTAAGGAATGAATGGGTAATGGAGAATCCAACCCCAAAATCCTTTGTTTGCCTTTTAGGAGTCTTAGAAACCCTTTTCTTAGCCTTTGAAGACTCGAAAGTCCAGAATTTAAGTTGTGAAACCTTCCCCTCTGACAACAGATGAGAAGTTATTCTGCTTTAGAGGCGTCACTGTGGATGCCCCTACGGAGGCATCATTTCATATGCCACCATGAAAATACTTCTCATGCTCTAAGAGACTCCTCTGTGACCGAAGATACCTCCTATGCTCTGAGAGACCCCTATATGTTCAAAGGTTCTTCCCGTGCTCCATGGAGATTGAATGTGTTAGGTGCTCCAACGACGGTTGTTTAGCCAAAATCGAAATGCGGGGCTCTGGAGCTAGTCTGACGTATGTTCAGATCTTTGAGAATAACAGTGCCCTCAGAGCACCAAATTTAGTCAAACACTTCATGATCTCCAAACCTGGAGAAGGTCCAATGTCAGTAAGAATTCCAGATTTGGTGTCCAAATACAACAATTTTTGGCCAATTTGTTTGTCAAAGAGGAAAGTCACCTGATGTATGTGCTCCAGAGGGAAATGATTAGTACAGGCCTCTGGTAAGGCGTGACTGTACGGCTCCAGAGCAACCACCCAAGACTCCTAAACCTTCTCCTAGAAAATATCCTTTAGCTTCTTCATTTCAGGGGACATGATTACACTTTTGAGACCCTTTTTGACACACATTCTTTCTAAAAGATTACAACTTGAGTTCATCTTTTTAAGAGTTGTTCTTCAAACTTGCGTTCTTCGGGTTTGAAGTCTTTCATAGAAATTTCACTCAAAAAGTCTCAAAACACTTTGTTTGATCAATCCAAACTCGCCTACAAGCTACATTTGAAGTTTCTGAGGTTTCTCCGGAGTTCTGAAAATACGCCTCCGTTGCTGGACTCCGCCATCCCAGAGCACACTTCCGGAAAACCATAAACTTTGTCTGCTGATACCATAAACTTCTCCGAGCATTCCTCCGCTGAAACAACCTTATCCACACACTCCAAGTTAAATCTCCATCAACCGTTCATTTACTCCTCCCACCATACTTCGTCCATGCGATCTCCATGACTGAGTTCAACATCTTCTCATGCGCATAGTCGATAGTGCCTCAGCAACTTGGCAGCTAGGCCCTAGAATTTGATTTCTTCGGCTTACTTTGGGCCTAACCGATTCCTCTTCTTCTTTGGAGGTCCTACCATACAAGCTCATTTGTGAATGTCGCGTGTTTCGTCCTCGTCAGCATAGACACCACCGAATTCGGTACTTGCATGTGTATACCTTGTACACGTCATACCCATCGAATCTATTAGGCCCAACAATAATCAAGGAAACAAAATTCACATTATTTGACCAAACCAAATAACAATAGCAATGAAATATAACTGTTAAAATAAGAATTATAACCAAAGCAAAATTATTTTAAAAAATTCAAAATAACAAGGAAAAGCTAGCTTGTTATAAAATACAATAATAATAATAGAAATTGTAGTGTATAGAAGATTTTCTAAACATGAAGTGGTAAATAGCATACATATTTTAGCTATGTAGTAAATAACAAATTCTAAATCTTATTACTATTTCCTTATTTTACCCTTATTTTTAACAAACCCTAAAAATTCTCCTAAAACCAAAAATCCCTAATTCCCCAAAATTTATCTCAAACAACATGATCAATCTCTCTCTCTTTGTGCTCTCTCACTCCCTCTTCTCGCTCTCTATCTCTTTTCTCCCTTTGTTTCTCGATTTCTCATTGTCACTCTCCTCTCTCTCTCTCTCTCTCTCTATCTCTATATCTCTAGCTCTATCGGCTCTTTCTTTCAGCTTTTCGCGCTGCTTGTCTTGTCAGCCAGTGTTGTTGATATTGGATTTGTCAGATTCTTTCTTGCCAGAGATGGTCGGCCAGAGCACAATAGTTGAGGGAGATGAGTTCAAATAGTTGAGGAGGGGTATTTTCATATTTTTGGGATTATGATGTTCAAAATATGATATTATTTTTCATCCTAAAAAATTTCTTATCAATTTTTATTTGCGGTTAAAAAAACATGATATTTTCCTCTATTTCCCTAATAAAAATAAAAATAATAAACTAATAGTAAATTTCAGTCTAAAATAGAGCTAGAAGTGCATAAATAGAGAAGAAAAGAAGACTTGACAATTGCAAATCGAGAAAGATAGGCTGGGCAATCTACAAAAACACAAGGAAACATAATTCACATTGCACAAAATAAACACATGAATCTCAGATAAAAAGTTAACATAAACCATTAATGAATCTAACCTTTGGATGCAACTTCTAGACATTTCTACGGAATGCGAAAACTGAAGTTCAGACTAGAGGTGAAAGTTCAGGTCGTCCACCCGGTCTGATTCGACCCACCTTAAATTTATAAGTTTTTTTTTAAGAATAATTTTAAAAAAGGTGTTCGGGCAGGGCTGGCTAGAATAAGATTTTAGGTTCGAAACCTCGACCGTGCCCGACCTGAGGGTTTAGGCCGAACCGAATTGACCAAAACACCTAAGTGGGTCGGGTCAGGCCGAGATGAGACCAACAATGTTGGGCCCTGGGCCAAAATAAACTTTCACCTCTAGTTCAGACTACTGAATAACAAAGAAAAATAACCAAACTCAACGCAGACACAAACAAAAAGTTAGAATCCAAAATTGATTAGAAAATTCATGAGATAAATTAAATGTATTTACTTTTTGTAAAGTTAACAAATTGACAAGGGAAATATATAAAAAAAAAAAAAGATAAGTTTTGTTGTTGTAAGATAAGATAAGGGTGATTTAATAAAGAAAATACTTTTAATAGATGCACCCAAAGAAAATACTTTCATTCTCCTCGTGTCCTCCTAGTCACGAAAATCGCCGTCAAGTAACGGCGGAGAAGTAACCGCCGTTAGCTTTCCGTATTCAAAAGTCTCTCTCACTACCACTTCACTACTCGCCTCTCTCTCTCTCTCATCACTCTCTCTCTCTTCCTCTCTGAAACAATCGCTGGAATCGCACAGTTATATGAAAGATTCGCCACTGCTTTCTCTCTCGGATTTCAAGCATTTTCCGTCTTGACAATGGAGATCGTCGAATCTTGGCGTTCTTCACTCTAGGCATAGAAGATACCTCTCAAGCTCTCCCGCCATCTCTATGGCCATTCGAGGCGTCGATTTCAAGTGGTGCGTATATACTCCTATGTTTGTGTATCGGTTTATATGCAATTGAGCAAGTAATAGGAATTTGATTGCGAATTTCGTTTTCTGGCTGTCGCAGGTACGATGGGTTCTTTCTATCTATGCTCGCGACGAGTGTGTATCCTTTCGTGATTTCGTGATTTTCGCTGTTCTAATTGAGAATTCTGTGCTGAATCTTTAAATTGCTATCAATTTTGAGTTTTTTGTAGCTTGATTAGGTAAATGCGCTTGCTTCATTGAAGCTAGTGGTATTAATTTCTGGTTTTTTCTCTTTGGTTATGGGAAAAATTGTTTCCTTTTAACAGTTTTTTAACGATAGAGTTATTGTTGCTATTAATTGGAAGCGCTACCATTCTTGTACATACCCATTGCACATATGGATTGTGGTGAGTTCTTCTCATGTATGAAGAAGATCAAGTTCTTTTCTTTTCCAATTGTGATGGGATTTTTCTTTTCTCTGATTAGGGTTTTTTTTTATTTATATTTTTTAATTCTTGTTTGTTCAGGTTGATTATACCACGGTGTTTGCTTTTCGTCTGTTGATGTTTGTGGATAATGGACTTGCAACCGGAATGGGTTTGTAAGGCCATCTTTCTTAAAACTGTTGAAGTTAATTTTTATAACATTGAGAGTGTTATTCCACTTTGTGTCCTTTATTGGCATGGTTTATAAATAAAAACAGGGCAATATAAATAGGGAATTTGCTATCATTACTGATGCTGAAGGAGGAAAAAAAGACAAAATGGAAATGGTAATTTAAGACTTGTGAAATTCTCTTCGGGAGGTGAGCTAGATTGTAGGATGTTGAGATGAAGTTTTAAATGTACCTTTTGTAGGGCTAAATGTTAAGGTGAAGAATTGCACGTATTGATAAAATTGATGTAAAATGAGTGCTTGGGACGTCCTATACTGTCCAATGGAACCTTAAGTAAAAGCAGGAATGATGTTTCGTTCAACTGGTTCTGGATAGAAGAATGATGAGAAGACTAAATGGGATGGTTTGAGGTTTTGTGGAAATGACCCATGTTAAAAATGAAACATGGAAATAAGTCACTTCCTACAGAATATGTGCCCCTCAAACTTAATTTTTAAGCCCTTTCGTTTTCTTCTAAAATCATCATGTCTAGACTGGCTAGTGGCTGTGTTCTTTTTTCCTGCTTAGTTCCTGTTGGCCTCTTAGTAGCTGAATTCTTGGTGATGCCATTCTATACACTTAATTCTTTCTTTCCCTTTTAGGGATTTTGGGTGGCAGCAGAGGTATGCTCGTTTTTGTGGAAGACTAGTGGTACTTTCAATTCTTTCTCTGCTACTCTATCCGTTTCTATGGGCTTGGACAGTAATTGGTACCCTGTGGTTTAAACGAGCAAGAGACTGCGTAAGTCATGTCAGCCTTAATACATAGTGTCTTTTCTTTTTATTTTTTATACACATGGTGTCATCATCATTAGAGAACAAGTTTGGTTTTTGCTAATGGATTTTAATTGCATGCAGTTGCCGGAACAAGGTCAGAAATGGGGTTTCCTAATTTGGTTACTCTTTAGCTACTGCGCACTCCTCTGCATTGCCTGCATATCATTTGGCAAGGTTAGTTATTCCCCCTTCAGTTACAATTCATGTTAGCATTTTTTTCTTTTCATTTAGATTTCTTGTTCTGAGCAAATGTTTTAGTTGTTTGTAGCCTGCCCGTTTAATTATGTAGAGATCCAATTCCTACATTTCCAGTTTTATCATTGTGTTCTTTTCTTTTCTCTGTAGTATGGGTTTTCTTATCCTTTGCTTTTTATACTTATCTCGATAGTGGTTGACGCGAAGACAGGCACACTCATTACGTGCACAGCAGGGAATACCTATATCAGAGTATGGGGTAAGCAGTATAGCTTTGTTATCTTATATTTCGAGTTCGTGAAACAAAGCTTATCATATTTAGTGATATTTCCGAGCTTAGACCCAAAAATGTAAAAAGGGCCAATTCCTATGCTTTATCTGGTAACAACAGGGAGCTCTTTGTTGTATTTGTGCCCATATTATTATTAGTGGACTGTGGTTTGTATAGTTTACATGGAACAATAACTAGGATTTTCAGATATAGTTTACTGAGAAATAATATCTCAAAGTTCATTTAGTTTATTGTGTGATTTCCTCACTTGATTTGTAATAGCTCTTTGTTAGGATGCAGTTTAACTTTAAATCCTATGCTTTATCGTGTGTTTGTGTAGTCTCCTCATGTTGAAGATAATATCTTTCTTTCGTTAGCTGTTTGGATAGGGCTTTTGTCTTTGTAGAGCACACACTTAATTGTAATTGTCACTCTTAGTCTTAAAGAGCTCGTTTTGCAAAATTTAATAATTTGTATGATATTTTGGATGGAAAATCCTGTGATACTGCAATCAGAAAAAATTTCTTTCTTTTGCAGGTTCTTATTGATATGATTCGTGTCCCTGATTGGGCATTTGAAGCCGCAGGTCAAGAAACAAGAGGCATGGGCCAAGATGCTGCTGCCTACCAACCTGGACTTTACTTGACTCCAGCTCAGGTAATCGTTTATTTTGCCAAATTGACGCCCATCTTTTGCTTAAGGTACTGATAATTCATAATAGGAAGAGTATGATCTTTGAGACAGTTGAGTTTTTTACTCTTGCCAAAAGTTATGCTTAGAAAAATGGACTGGTGTTTTGAGGTGTAGTTGACTGCGGATGGCATTTGATGCTGACGTTTTTGTTTAAATTTTTCAGAGAGAAGCAGTTGAAGCACTCATTCAGGAACTCCCTAAGTTCTGCCTAAAGGCTGTTCCGACTGATTGCAGTGAGTGTCCCATCTGCTTGGAAGAGTTCCATGTGGGCAATGAGGTAATTTTCATATGATATGTATTTATTCGCAACAGTTTATTCTAATATCGAGTTTAATTGTATATTGTTTCTGAAGTGCAGGTTCGTGGCCTCCCTTGTGCGCACAATTTCCATGTAGAATGCATTGATGAGTGGCTTCGCTTGAATGTAAAATGCCCTCGATGCCGCTGCTCTGTTTTCCCTAATCTTGACCTCAGTGCTTTGTCCAATCTCCGTGCCGAGTCTGAGCGGTCATCTGCCAGTGTTATGACTGCTAACCGGTATGTTAGAGAACAACCTCCCAGTCAGAGCTATTTGTTGAGATTGCACAGTATGCTTCGACCGGTCCATACAGGAAATGCAGGAGCGGGAAATGATGCAGAAAGTGCCTTGGAAACTATGGAGAATGGGGGTGTGGCTATAGCTCATCGGGATGTACCAAGCATAGAGCTGGTGACTTCTAATGCACGTGTACCTGTTGATCAGTCCACTGCACCACAACGCTAAGCTCTTTACCGCATTATTTTTCACAAATTTTAACTACAGTTTCTAACCCTGTTGCCGAGGAAAGCTAAATGAATATAAACTCCATACCTGGCCATCACGTGGTATTATTGCTATGGCCGCCGTCGCATACTAAGCTCAAGAAATTGTATTTTGTAAATGTTAATGAAGGAATTTGCTTCATTGCTTCTCAAGATCATAGATTCTTGGAAATGAGAGTAAAACAACACCTTTACTCTGTTTTTTGCTTAATTAACGTTACATTAGTTTTTTAGTTTGCTCTGCTGGTTTTGTCTTTTCTTTTCTAGTTTTCTTGATTCTCTATTTCTTTATCATTTACAGCCTTTATTTTTCCTACGCTTTTTCTTCCTTGAATCTTGGGGAAACTTCCAGCATATCAGAGACAGATTTTACACGAACAATATTCCAAACTTCACACTTATTAATTTGTATTGAAGTCATTTATATTTCTCTGCATTCGGAATTCTGGTCTTGTTTCTTGCATATGAGAAAGTAGTTTCTCTAATTTGTATGGATGAATATCTTATCTTTGAACTGTCTAGACAGTGATGTTGCTGGGTGGGACCCGTTAGTTAGCAAAAATGAGGTAGGGAAGACCAGCTAGATGATTATGTGGAGCTCAAAATGCCAAGTATATGCGGTTGCCATTTTTTGAGAATATATAAACTTGATTTATCAACCGCTCTCAAGAGAGAGACCATTATGGACTTTTGTACTCTTTTTGCAGTTTGCAAGTTTTCTTCACTTGTACTTTGGTGACATAACGGTAACTGGTGGATGATTTCAGTGTGATTGTTCAAGTTCAACTTTTGTAATGGTGTGGTCAAAAGGATCGCTTTGGTATTTGCCCTTCAAATTAAGGGATTAAGGATGTGTAGTATTTACAGGGGAGGGGGTAAACATTTTTTTTCCCCCCCTAAAAGAAATGGTCATCCAGCAATGCTAGCAAGTTTTGCTGTTTGAATCATCTTGAGTGAATTGTTATGAACGTTTAGTTGATAGATTTAAAATCATAATTTAAAACTTTTAAAAGAAATGGTCATCCAACAATGCTAGCAAGTTTTGCTGTTTGAATCATCTTGAGTGAATTGTTATGAACGTTTAGTTGATAGATTTAAAATCATAATTTAAAACTTTTAAAAGAAATGGTCATCCAGCAATGCTAGCAAGTTTTGCTGTTTGAATCATCTTGAGTGAATTGTTATGAACGTTTAGTTGATAGATTTAAAATCATAATTTAAAACTTTTAAAAGAAATGGTCATCCAACAATACTAGCAAGTTTTGCTGTTTGAATCATCTTGAGTGAATTGTTATGAACGTTTAGTTGATAAATTTAAAATCATAATTTAAAACTTTTAAAATAAATGATCATCTAGCAGTACTATCAAGTTTTACTGTTTGAATCATCTTGAGTGAATTGTTAAGTGTAAAGAAACATTATTGATTCCAACCAATATATGTATATATATTTATTTATTTATTTTATGCAACTGTCTAGAATTAGGAAGGACTCGGATGTCCTTTGTGCGAAAGAACATCCTTGTGCTTACGAGTACTACAACTTACAAGCAGGAGTAGCTTTGTCAATTTGCTTTCATTTTCATTTTTCATCTTTATAGTAACTAATTTGTAATCAATATTCAAGCAATAACAAACATAATTTTATGTTGTAAAGTTAACATTTTGAGAGTTATTTTGTAGAGAAAAGAAGATAAATATCATTTTAAATTGTATGGTATTGATTTTTATTTTTTACTCTTAATTAATATTTTTTAATTAAATTTAATATTTAATTAAAATGGTATTAATTAAAAATAAAGTGTAAAAATCAAGACTCATAAATTTTAAAAGATAAATTCTTTAATTATCTCTATTTTTTATACCAAAGGATATCTATTAGTGTTTATTGGGGCGCTCTTCATAACACCTATCTTTTTTCTTTTTTTTTTTTTTTTATAAAAAGAGGATCTCATTTCCATTTACATCATTTATAGAAGAAATTGGAGGCCACCCACCACAAACGAATATTAATTGGACAAGACCTTCGATATTAGAAAAATTAAGATTCACACAGAAAAAAATTTAAGAGGTGAAAAAAAGAAACATCGATTAAAAAGTGGTTATTACATGAGACTATTGACTATAACATCATGCTACACATGCAACGGTGAGATTGCATAAAATGAAAAAACGTGGCTTGATTTGATTGTCCCACAAAATAAGTGGGACCCAACTGTAGAAATCCCAATAATAGATAGGCAGCTGGGTTTTATAGTTTCATTAAATTTTATTTGATATTTTACCTCGGCGAGTTTATCCATACGACATAACCACACCACCATCGTCATCATCATTATCATCATCTGTTGTCAAAGGTTTCCACAGGACACCCCCAAGAACCCACACACGACACCTCCTTTTCTCTTCTCTTCTCTCTCTTTCTCTCTCCTCTTCATTGGAAACAAGAGAGAGAGAGAAAAACAAAAAATGGCGGTGGCCAACGCCTGGGGAGTGGGTCAAGCCATGTCGGTGCGTCCCCAATTCAGACCCTTTTGCTGTTCAGATTTCTCTTCGAAGAATCGCCTCAACTTCCTTCTCGGTTGGGGCTTCTCTCTTCAATCCAAGCCTCAAACCTCTTCTTCTTCTTCTTGTTTAACAAGGAATAGGAAAAGCTCCAACTTGTTTTGCCGTTGCAGCAATGAGTGTAGTAGTAATGGCTCTTCTTCTTCTTCTTCTTCTCTGGAATGGGACTGGAATCGGTGGAGCCGCCATTTCTCTGAGATTGAACAAGCTGAGAGCTTTGCCTCACTTCTCAAGGTAATTTAAAAATATCCTTTTGTCCTTTTCCCGTTAAAATGATTAAAAAATGGAGAAATTGGTTTCTTTTTCAAGTCTTTTTTCTCATGCCAAATGTTCGTGTCAAATATCTTTTGTGGGTGTTTTTGAAAGAACCCATTTCTTTGAAACAAAGGCCAAGTTGAGTTGAATTGACATCCAAGTTGTTATGGGCTTGTTCAGTTGAGTTATGATGATTTGAGTGTAGATTGTGTTAAATTTGAGTTATAATTTGAGTTGAAGTTGTAACTTAAAAAATTATAATTTGAGTTTGTGTTGGTCGTATACATCTGAGTTATGGTTTAAGATGATAATTTTTTTGAGTTTGTATTTAAGTGGGTTAAAATTTGAGATTGTATTTAGATAGTATTTTAATAAAAATTAAATGATGATAGAAAATTTTAATAGAATATATAAGTAATGTTTTATTTGTTTTTGTGAATGCATAAAAAAAAGAATTATCTCAATCGAAATTAAAACAAAAAAATTATAGCGTTTTTAAGAATATAAAAAATATTATTTATTAACTAGAGTTTGAGTTTAAGAACTTGAGTTAAAGGAGAAATTTAAACTCAAATTTTAACTCGAAATTCAAGTTAAAATTCAAGTTCAAACTCAAATTTTATAAAAGAACATGAACTTGAATAAATTTGTAACTTGAGTTTAAATTTTTTTTAAGTTTTGGTGCAAACGAACAAGCCCTAAATTTCTTTTAGTTTAATGCTTTTTTTATGGTTATTTGTTGAGGTACTCAAATATAGAATGAAGAACCAATGCTTTCTTTTACTTTTCAAGGGGAATTATTATTTTGATTGGTTTATCGTATCAAATTAAGCTACTTTACTGAATCAAGAAAATGTGCGAGTATAATAAGAATTTTTTTTTTCAAAAAAAATGTCCAAGGTTCAGGTTTTTTTTAGATAAGTCCACTGTGTTAAGAGCTGGTTCAATGTGTAAAGTAAGAAATTTCCTAGAACTTAGACATGTAGTTAAGGAATACATTGAAGATTTTCATTTGACTTGATTCTATTGCTATGATTTGCAGTTCCAACTTGAAGATTCAATTGAGAAAGAAGACTTCCAAGAAGCGGCAAAGCTTAAGATGGCTATTGAAGAAGCTACATCAAAGGATAGTGTTGCTGAAATCATGGCTGAGTTGAAGGTGTGTTTTGTGATTAAGCAATTCAAAACACTAGCGCCGCGTTTGGTTGGAGGATTCAAACTATGTGATTCGAATTATTTTCGATTTACGTGTATTTTTTGTGAGAAAAAATACTGTAGCAAACCACGAATCATGATTCGAATCAGGGAACGAATCCCTCTACCAAACGGCCTCTAGAGTTCTGAAACTGCCCACTTCCACAAAATTCTTACTTGTGTTGTCTGCTATTTATTTACAGATTGCAATCGATGAAGAGCGTTATCATGATGCTTCAAAGTTGTGTAGACACACAGGAAGTGGCCTGGTAAGCATCTTACCTGCTGCTTACTTTAGCTTCATATGTCAATGAAATTTTTCTGGCTTTGTTTGAGCAATTACATTTTGATTCAGTTTTGATCTCTTTGGCTTCTTGGAAGGTGGAGTCTTTTCTCCTTGTTCTCGAGATTATGTTCCTTTAATTATGGGTGACTGGATAAAAGAAATACAGTTCAGTTAGCACATAAAACTAATGTTGGCCTCCTGATAACAATAAACTCGGCCCACCTCTTAATATTTTAAGTTTTGGGGAGAAATTGTAAACTAACACGGTATCGATTGTTATCACGTGTTGGGCTTTTAATATGCGTCAGGCTTCTAATTAAATGAATATTGACGTGTGGGGCCTTCTAATTAATATTTTCCCCCTGTTTGTTTGTTGTCCGCCCACTTGGGTAAGTGTTAGAATATAAAATTAGTATTGGCCCACTTCGTAGTTGCCTAAGTTCTTGGGTGAAATGGTAGACTAATAAGTTTGAATCAGTTTCAACTAACTTTTTTCCCTATCTATGAGCAGGTAGGTTGGTGGGTAGGGTATTCAAAAGATTCGGATGACCCCTTTGGTCGGTTGATACACATTACTCCTGGTGTTGGAAGATTTGTGGGCAGGAGTTACAGTCCAAGGTAAGATCTTTCCTGTGGTGTTTATGTATAAAATCTATTGGGAAGTGTTGCTAATTGTCGTGTTGTTACAGACAGTTGGTCACTGCATCTCCAGGAGCTCCACTTTTCGAAATTTTTGTGGTAAAAAATCCTGATGAGACGTATGTTATGCAGGTATGTACAAATTCTTCTGATAGATTGTAAGTCATGAACATTTGTGGCCTAGTTAAGTTTTGATATTCGAAGATATGGCACTGTAAGACTTCTGGTTAAAGAGATTTGTAGTATTCAATAATCTTAAGTCTATAAAGTTGATCATGACGTATAACTGAAAGGTGGAAGCTATTAATTTTTAAATGAGTAGCAATGTATCATATTAGTTTTTTTTTTCTCCCCTTGTTTAGACAAATAGTTGAAACCATTTGTGGGGCACCACTCGTAAAATTTCATTTTTGCTTTTTCAAAACCCTTTGATCATAGCTAGTTAACCATCTAGCACTTTTACTTTGAGAATGGCAATAAACCAATATGAAACTGTTATTTGTAGACATCGAAAAAAGGCAGATATGTCTCTGTAAATGATCCATTTTCCAAATCTATAAAAAGTAGAATCATGGTCTCCAAGTTACTGCCTAATGAGAAGTAAATTAGCATCTGGTCCTTGTTATTTGTCATGGAATCCAACTGCATGCCTTCTGAAGACTGCCAGATGCAGATCCCATATTGTAATCATTTTCAATAAGCAGACTAGATGATTTTACTCATTCATTGCTTCTAGTTGCCTAGGTACCTAGAATGTCTAACACGTACTCTGTTGCATTGGCATCTTTCGGGTGCTTTGAGATTTTGTGGAATATTTCTTGAATCATCTCTTTTTCTCACTTGGTTCTTTTTTCACCCTCATTCTCTTGACCCCTCTTTGTTGCCACTCCAATGAATATTTGACAGGTTGTGTACTTGCAACGACCTAAAGGCAATTCAAAGAACTCCATTATGTCACTAACTAAACCCACAAAAAGAGAATCGACTTCTGAAGTTGAGAATGCGTCTGTGGCAGATGTTCGGGAAAATGAAGATAAGGTTGAAAAGGGTGAGGAGAAGGGGATAAATATTGAGGAAGCAACAGAGGAGGGAATAAAAAGTGTGATAAATTTTCTGAAAGAAAAAATTCCAGGCTTGAAAGTTAAAGTCATGAATGTTAATGTTACGGAGGAAGTGTTAGAGGACGCCGATGCCGTGAAGCAGTTGATGCAAGAAAATAGTGAGAATGAGGATTCTGATGAGAATTCTGAAGATGGGGTTAGTAATTTGGATGAGATCCAACCTGATGAGGTCACTTTGGGTGGTAGCGATACAACAGAAGATGAGAAAGATTTAGATATGAAACTTTTTATTGGCGGAGTTGTACACAACAATGATGATACTTCCACTACGGATGAGTATGTGCGACACCCAGCTGAAATTAAAGACATGGAAAGGGATTCTTTCGTGCTACATATTCCTGATAGAGGCCTAGATAATGATACAAGAGAAAAAGTGCCGAACGTCAAAGTGGCAGCTCTAGCAGCTCAAGGCGTCTCTGAGCTTATGCCTCCCGATGTTGCGAAAGTATTATGGAAATCCAACAAGGTTTCTTCAAAGGTGAGTTTGGGATTACTTTTGCTAGAAATCTAATATATTAACACTATGTGTGTCTAAGAACTTGTTCAAATGGTATGGAATAATGAGGTTCCATGTTAATTGTTTACATTGAGTTCTTAGTTGACATGATAGAAGTATGATTGTCTTTCATTGGGTTGTTTCTCACTTTGTTTCTTTTCCAACCTTCATTGTGTAAATTAAGTATCTATCACCGTCATATTTCATTGTTAACCTCAGGGTGAAAGTCATAAAACATAACTCAATTCTAATATTGAAGATGTCTTTTGTCTTTTTGAATTTCCTTTAAATTTTTATTTTTATTTTGTTTTGAATATGTGGCCCTCTTGCTTCATTAGATCCCCACTATGTACAGGTGCAAAATTGCATACTTTTCCTGACAATAAATTATGTGTTATTTTGCAGGTTTCAAGAAATGTACGTGAAATAGTCAAACTTGCTATGAGTCAAGCACAAAAAAGGAGTAGGTTATCTGAATATACTACTTTCAACCGAATAAACAGTTCCAATGGAGATCTAGATCCATTCGATGGTGAGTCATGCTTTTCTATTCTTTATCCTCCATCCTCTCTTTTCCCTATTTGTATGTTTAGATTCAATTAAAGGACCGTTGTTTAAGGAATTCCTGTTGATTGAAGTATAGGCCTCTATGTTGGTGCATTCGGCCCATATGGCACTGAGGTAGTACAACTGAGGCGTAAATTCGGCCATTGGAATGGTTCGAATGTCAAAGACAATTCTTCAGATGTGGAGTTCTTTGAATATGTCGAGGCAGTGAAGCTTACTGGGGACCTGAATGTTCCTGCAGGCCAGGTTTTATAGCTCTTACACTCTTTAAAATACACTCTTTAAAATTTGGCTGGTTTAGGTGTATGCAATCATGTGTTTGCATATATGTAAACCATGAGATATAGTATGCTAACTTATGTGATTCTCTGCGTATTCAGGTGACATTCCGTGCTAAAATTGGGAGAGGGAATAATCGTATTTCCAACCGCGGGATGTATCCGGATGAATTAGGAGTGGTAATTAACTTGTTATGCTTGTTAGATACTTACTCTTCTGAAGAAAAACGTGTGTGGATCTTTTTTCTTTGTGTAAATAGATTGCCTTGCAAATGCAGATTCAGATCCAACGGCATCAAGCACTTTTTTCTAGTTACTTCGTTTTTTAATTTTCATTGAATAGAATCCTTAGAAAAAGCATTTCGTTGCCACTGAGCTAATGCCTCTAGTGAAACCATAGTAAGTGTTTAGTAGCTATTCGATGCATGATGCATCAAATGGATTTCTAAGCTCATATATCATTTAACAGTTTTGAGAAGAATAATCAATGTTGCTTATTTTTTTAAAGAGTACGTGAATGTATATAGGAAGTAAGGAAAGCTACTGATAAGCCATAAACTAAGAAACTAATTATCCCTTCTAAAGGATAAGATAAACTAATAAGATAAGCTATAAGATTTGAATATTAATTCAAATCTCTTATTAAAAGATAACACTCCTAATAATTATCCCTAATAAATAGAGGATTAAATCTATCATAATTGACATCCCTTCTCAAGTTGGTGTATAGATGTTGAACATGCCCAACTTGCTTGTGAGAAACTCAAAGTTCGGTCTGAGCAGTCCCTTGGTAAGAATATCAGCTATTTGTTGCGTTGAAGGAACAAATGGCATACAGATATGTTATAACCCTTGGGTAGACTCATCCCCAAAAGCTAGCTTGTAAGGAGAGGGTGCCCAAGTGGTTATAAACCCACATGCTAAGCTCATACTTTAGCAATGTAGGACTCAACCAGGATCCTAACATACCACCACATTTTTGACACCGACGTCCACTTTGGGCGGCCCACTCTGGCCTTTCCAGGTCGCCCCTTCCACAACGTGGGCCTGAGGAGGAGCATGCTCTGATACCAATTGTTATAACCCTTGGGTAGAACTCATCCCCAAAAGCTAGCTTGTAGGGAGAGGGTGCCCAAGTGGCTATAAACCCACATGCTAAGCCCATACTTTAGCAATGTGGGACTCAACCAGGATCCTAACAAGATAGTTCCAGCCTCCAGCTTCTCCTTTATAAAATGACGATCGATCTCAACATGCTTGGTTCGATCATGCTGCACAGGATTGTGAGCAATACTAATTGTAGCTTTGTTGTCGCAATACAACTTCATTGGCATCTCAACTGGTCTTAAGTTCGTCAAGAATCCGCTTGATCCACAATATCTCACATACTCCATGTGCCATGGCTCGGTATTCGGCTTCTGCGCTACTCCGGGCAACTACATTCTGCTTTTTGCTCCTCCATGTAACCAAATTGCCCCATACAAAAGTGCAATAACCGGATGTAGCCCTTCTATCTATAATGGAACCTGCCCAGTCTGCATCAGTGTAAACCTCAATAGTCTTTTCTTCGCCTTTCTTAAACAACAATCATTTTCCCGGTGTACCTTTAAGGTATCTTAAAATTTGATATACTCCTTTAAGATGTTCTTTACAAGGAGAGAGCATAAACTGGCTCACAACACTTACCGCAAAGGCTATGTCAGGTCGGGTGTGGGATAAATAAATCAGCTTTCCCACTAACTTCTGGTACTGAGCTGTGTCAACCGATGCTCCATCCTTGCAATCACTTAATTTTTGGTTCGGATCTATGAGAGTATCTGCAGGCTTGCATCCGCTCATCCCAGTTTCTTTGAGAAGAGCTAGCACATATTTTCTTTGCGAG